ACGTCCAAACTAACTGCCAGGGCCTCACCCTTGCCCTCGATTGCATCCGACCATCTATGCGTTAGGTACGCAAGAAGATCACCAGCTGAGCTGAGCTGAGCTGACCACCATTTATAATATTAGTAAGAAGTAAGATAGTAAGATTAACGATGTATTTTCGTTGCTTTAAAAAATCACATTTCTTTTAAATTTCGGCTCACTGACGACATTTTCGCATTTGTTTCCGATAATCACAGTATGATTCTGCGCTAAACAATTTACGTCCGATAGCTAGTTCTAAAAAATAGCGTACTAGTTATAATAGAAATAAAAATATTATCATGAAAAGTTTGAGAGTATTGTATTATTCGTAAAACATTGGTAAGTTAATTTATTGAAATGGCTATAGAGGATAAGCTACAATTTTTTTTAAACAAGAACACTAAGAAGTATTGTAAAAGGATTTTTACCCGCAATTCTCCCATCTTGATGGTCCTGAGTTAATTGTAGAGGAGTTTGTGCCACTTCCATTTTTTTTAATACAGTCCTCACTTACAACTTTTTTTTTCTTTTTTTTTTACTCCATAATCCAATGTTAAAATAAAAATGAACTTTTCTGTTAAAAATATCACTATATAAGTAAATAATCTAATAATATGTACCACATTAATAAAATTATTATTATAGTTTACAATTTATTTTATTATAAGTATTATTAGGTAAATTTTTTTAATGTAAATTATTAAGTACCTATTTATTAATAGCAATTATTTATATTGAAATGTTTATAACTAATAAATATTATTATATTTAAGTTATAATTTTTAAATCAAACCGAAATATTACCGTGATAAAGAACCTAATAACAAAGAATAAAATAATCAAAGACTATTTCTGTCAATGACACTTGAAGTTTATTTTTTTTTCAGCGGAGTACGAGTCGCGCGCGTTCAGCCACCGCCGGGGCACTTTTGACGCGGCCTCGCTCGAGCTTACGAAGGCGGGGCGGCTCCGCCCCGTCGCTTTTCGCATTCTGACTCTAGCGTAGCGTACCTCTACAGTTCTACACTTCGGACTATTCAACCACATAGTCGATATTGGCTTATTTGATCCAACGTTTGGCTAACTTTTATTAAACAAAAGCTTTTTAGTATTCCCCTTGAATTATCTAGTAATATTAGAAGGGTGTAATTTAATTTGGACTAACGAGACTGAAAAAAATAACTAAACTTTTTTTGTGATTTTAAAAATATATGATATAATAAACTTTTTAAATTGAGTTACAAAAAAATTAAAAGTAAAGCCCTTGTTAATGTTTAAACTAGAAAATAATTTATAATAAATCTATACTATTATTACAAGAAGAGATTTGTATTTTGTTTGTATTTGATTCACGTAAAAACTACTGGGCCGATTTTAGAAATTCTTACACCATTAGAAAGGTAAATAAACTGTAAGTAAAAAGGCTATATTTTTAATAGCATGCGGACGAAGTTGCGAGCAACAGCTAGTTAGAAATAAACAGACGCCTCAAAAGTTTGGCAAACATTAAGCGTAGTGAGTATACAGTTGGCCAAACATATAAGGGGTTGACGCCAACCCCCTTCCGAAGGGGGGTGAGTTCGATTTTGGGTCAGCTGTTAAGCGTCCGTTTTAAGCTTTAATTTGTGGCATCACGGCCGGCGCCGGCTACCCATTTAGAATAATGACGCCGTATATTCCGAAAAACGAAATTGAACGGATATTGGTCTTTTTCAATTAGCGTAAAAGGTTATATCGGCTTTATAATTTACGTTATAATTGTTTTTAAAATATAAGTTCGGAAAACTACGTAACTATTTAGCATACGTTTATTGCTTTAAACGTTGGTCTATCTCAATCTCTCTTTTGCAGTTTCAAAAAGGCAATTTATAACAAACTAGCTGTTCGCGTGCGGTTTCATCAGTATGAAATTATAATTTTATTGTTTGCATTTGACAAATTCAAATTTCAAATGTCAAAATACCAATTACCTTACTATGGCAATCTTGCTTCCTTGATGTTGGCAGCAACTTATGGTGTCTTTCCCACATTAGGGTTTTTATCCAAAATGTTTACCCCTAAGTTTAATGGCGTGGAAACTAGCCTAAAGCATGACGTAAGTGTAGGGCTTTTTATTAAAAAAAATAATTATTCAAAAATATGCTGTAATTGCTTTCATCTTAAGCAACAAAGAAGTGTATGTTTACGCTTTATTATAATAGTATAGATTAAGATGTGTAATTAAATATCACAATCATCATTTACAAAATAACATATAACTTTGTGTGAATATCAGTAACCTATATATTTTGCTGTATTAAAAAGTATATTATGTTTATGGTCGAAGTTAGCGAAAAAGGTTACAACGTAGGTAAATAGGCACAAGAAAAGTGTTCGGTGCTTTATTATTACAATGACATTTGATATTTCGTCCAATAAGAATGGGGAAAGCAACGCAGGGCGTGGCGAATTATATTTCACGAGTGCCATCAAACAGGAAAAGTCAACAGTTTTCCCGCGCGTTTGTTGTCCAATCAGGAGTCACGGACTGACATTGACGTTAGGTATTTTATAACGCACCGATGCAATGAAAACATAGAAGAGGTAAGGGTTTTTTTCGAGTTTTTTTAAAAAACGCTATTAATGTTTCCAATTCTTTGTTTGATTTACAACCATAAAATGATGTTTAAAAAAACTTATTTAATTTCGAATAAAATATGTTTTAAATCTACAATCATTAAAAGGCTTTGTTAAATAAGAAAAATAATTTCTAGCGTAAAGCTTACAAGTTACATAAAATAACCTTAAATGTAAGTAGTTTAAATATTATATATACAAAACTATTAAATTTGTAGAGACAATCAATAAATATTCGAAACCTCGCATGGAACCCTAAAAACTATCCACAAGTCAATCGCCAAACTCCGCGCCGTGAAATGTACTTCAACCCCCATCCCTCATCCCCATACCCAACCCACGCTTCACCCCCATTTGCCCCCGAATTACAGCAACCCCTAAACCGCAGTCTTCAGTGACAGTTCAATAAAGCAAAGCGACCAATCGTGGCAAACGTCGCCCGGTATAAGCCAATAGGATTAACGGTACATTCGACCCTCTCACACTCTTACGAAAACTAATTAGGCTGTCCCTTTCTCTCTCGAAGCCGACGTATTCTTGATTCGATTGCGATTGATTTCTTCGTGCCAGGGTTTTTTTCTTTTTACATTTTTTAACGTTCCGCCTCACGTAGATTCGGGAGTCTAATTTATTAGCGGGAAATCACAATTGGAACTGATTTTATTATTTTCTATTTGAACTTATGGTACTAAAATGATTCGTGCATCAGTGATAATTTGTAGATTGCAAATAATATAATTTCATAGTGTACCTATTTAGACAGATCTTATAGCATCTCGTTTAGTTGTATAACAGAGGGCTTATCACGAATTTTAGTGAGAAAGTTATCGTATCGTTATCGATAAAATTTATATTGGATTTGTGCAGCGCCCCTACCGAACGAAACGTACACCAATAAGTCCAATACAATTATGTCGATAATGTTAGGAATCCGTCACGCTAATTTTTGTGATAAACCCTCAGTAGTCTCGCGCCGATCACTAATTTCTACATTTATTGCATAAAATCACATCAATATTACTAAAA